GGCTTGATGCCTATTCGAAGCCAGTTCGAGGCCTGTTTGAGGCCAATCCGAGGCTGATTTGAGACCGGTTTAAGGTTGGTTTAAGACCGGTTTGATGCAGATTTGATGCTGGTTTGAGGCCGAATTGAAACCGGTTTGAGGCGGAGTTGAGGCCGGTTGGTATCAGCACAAGCGGTGCAGCCAGCAAAGCAGACTCGATTCAGGCGCAGGTTGGCCGGGCACGAGGGCGCTGAAGGCGGGCAGGTGAGAACGCCGTCGAAGGGTAAATCAAGAGGAAAGAGCGAGTATCCGACCGGAGACAAGGCGGCCGAGGCTAAATCTGAGAGACTGGCAGGCCCGCAGAGACCAAGCGCCGCGGGGGTAGAGCATACACGGCCAGACCGAGAGACGGACACAAAAGTGGGCGTGTTGAGAAGAGGGAAAGATAGATTGATGGTCGAGAGAGTGAGACAGAACAAAATGAAAGAACTTGAGGGAGAAGGAAGGGGACTGTAAAGTGTATTTGTGTGTGTGTGTGTGTATTTGAGAGAGAGAGAGAATAGGATAAGTCAAGGACAAGTCCTCCGTGCTATGCCTCTCCCACATATCACCAGGGCGACAATGATATGTCAATTTGCAAGTGACACGAGTACCTCTAAGACACCAACAGGACTTGGGCTACATTTGTCTCTTTTATTGGTCATTTACGCGCCACAGTCTAGTCGGACCGTCTATCGAAACGCCTGTGTGTCAATCTGTCTACACGCATACACAAGACGAAGAACTCCAGTATTGGCTTGTTTACGTGTTTGCGAGAGGTTATCGAGACGGACGGGACGGGCCGGTCCAACTATTGTGGAGACAATTTTTATCAAGAAATAACTGAAAAATATGTCTCAACTAAGCGTCAACTGATCTCAGTTGAGTCGAGATGTAAAAGAGTTGAAAGAGAGCAAGGGACAAGTAAGACTGCAAGAGGGAGAGAAGGAGGAAACTGATAAAAATGGAAAAAGAGGGTGTAGCTGTGCGTTTGAGGATGAGAAAGAGGAGGCGGTAATAGAGGCAGACAAAAGCGAGGGGTTGAGTAGACGAGAGAGGCATTTTAGGCTGAACAGCTTGCATCACTTGCTCGAAGAAGCATGACCGAAATACGGGAACAGACGAGCTGGGCAGAAGAATATTGAGCATAAAATAGCATGTGTGAGATGCACATGTCTGGTTCATTTGGATGGGCTACGAACGCACGAGTGAATCACACAAATTGCTGAAAGAACCCAAATAAAGAGTATGTAGAAAAACTGGGTTTCGAAGAATGCCTCTCGTCCTTCAGAAGAAGTGCAAGGTACTCCAACACCAAATAAATGGTGTTTCTCGTGGAAAAATGGAGTAGAGGGAAAAAATTGAGGGATGGAGATGGGACGAGGGTGGAGCAAAACTCTAAGTGATATGCCAGTCAATGGGGCAACACTGAGGCATGGACGGAATCCGATTGGTGGAGGGAACAATTTGTCCGACATTTAAAGGTCAGACAATGATTGGTCAACTCTCGGTGTGAAGAGACTGTGTGAGCTCCTGATTGATTTGGCCGCCTGCTCAACTAAACAGTCGGCCGGACAACCGACACTCGGGTCGACCGGTTTCAGACCAAACGACGACCTGTCAAGGCGTCTGTCAGGCCAGAATTTGGAACAACTCGGCATGTGGCAGACGGGGTGATAGGAGACCAAGAATGTGGTCAAGAGCGACCAGAAAATCCGGTTTGACTTAGATTTCGTTGCTTGTGTTAACGTGTGAGGAAGAGCTGCCTAGGCCGGTCTCACCAGAAAAGGGCGCTTGTATTCATACTAAGTAGGCTTCGAGACTATCGGTAAATGGAGAAAA